CGTTTCACTCAACCATGCTGCTGACTGTTATTCTCCCCACGAAAAATGCATTTCATGCAGAACTGATAGCTTGGTTGAATGGTGATGAAGGGAGAAACAAGCTTATCTTAAATGAACTAATCATAAATTATTCTTGTAGCAACCTCCCCTGGTTAACCGGTTCACTAGTTACTAATTGGTCATAAGCTCGGATAAAGAGAGGAGGTTGGGCATAGGAATAGCAACCCGACTCCGGGAAACCAAGCCAACCACTTAAAAAACTTCACAGCACAAAGAAAGTGTTAAAAACAAGAATAAACTATTCCTTGCTGGAATTGGGGAGATGAAATGACATCGGTTGGTGAAGGACTTCGGGAAGCCGATTGGCCGACTTGTCTCCCCTTCTCTCGATGAAAGGGAAAGTAAACATAGGGACATGAAATGTCCGCACAATGTTTGAGCTAGTTGGCAAGGCTTCTCAGATTGCAAAGACACGAGGAGATATGGCATAGAAGTGCTAGGCTAGGAATCTGTGAGAAGTCTGCAGATAGGATGGAAGTGGACTGTCACGACTGTGAACTGGAGAGGAGTCAATAATCTACTCCAATATTGTCACCCAAACGACAACCACAAGCACAGCATACTGAGTTGTGGGGTGGCTGTCATGATGTCCCTAAAACAGCATCGAAGGCTCTCTCTCTTGCAGTGGGAACCAGTCTCCTCCTACAGGATCAGCATCATGACAGCAAGACTCAAATCGAGATTAAGGAAAGTTACAATCATACAATGCTACACTATGCACCTAAAAATCATGCAGACGAAGAGGAGGGGAAGGAGGTGGAATTCTACAGACAGCTGCAATCAGTAATGTATAGACAAAACCCGATCCCAGTTGGTGACATCAGAATTCATTCTCATGGGTGGGGTGACATGAATGCCAAACTCGGAGCAGACAACAATGGAGAAGAACTGGTCATGGGTCAAGAAGCACTCGGTGAAATGATGAGTAAGAATGGAGAACTGCTTGCAGACTTCTGTGGGTTTAATGATCTGATGATTGGAGGCGATGCAGCGTGAACAAACAAAAGGATATTCAAAAGGCAGCGACATGGATTTGATTTCACCAGACACCAAGACACACTGAGAACCAGATTGACTTCATCTCAATGTGAAGAGAGTGGAGACACAGTCTCCTGGGACCGAGATGAAGAAGGGGAGCAGATGTCGTTTCAAACCACTCTCTATCTTGTGTAAGGAACCTACCTTCAAAATCAAGTTGAAAGCCTACACAGAAGTTGGTGATAGACCACAGTTCAAGTTGAACACCCAGAACAGAAACTGAACTGAAGGACGAAACTTCAGAGGACAACTTCACGCCAGCCATGAGATGGAAATGGGAGACATTGAGGAACATCTCTGAAAGAACTTGCGTGGAAGAACATTGGACTCTTCAGAAGCTAGGTGGAAGGAATCTGCACAACCGTATTAGTAAGGAAGAAGAAGGAAGATGAGAAGGAATGATCTGCACTGGAACATGGAGGCTGATAGTGGAAGAAGAGGAAGATGGTGAAGCACAATATGAACTAGTGCAGTGCAGTGCAGGTACGAACAATGAAAAGTACAAGGTATAAAACACAACACTGGAAAAGAAGTAAAGAAGAGTGCAGGCAAAGACAAAAGATAATTCTACAACACACTGACAAGTGAATCAGAACAGGCTGCAGGTGGGAGAGACCTGACAACACTACATCAAATAACCAGAGATCAACGCGCGTGAAACTAGTGAAAGATAATGAAGGGAAACAAAGGAAACGATGGGCTGACTACTTCGAAAAACTGTTGAATCAACCCGTAACACTACTACCACCACCTGAAACCCGTCCAGAAATACCACCAGCAGCCCAGTTACAGATAACGAGTGAACACAAGCCTTCCGACAAAAGCAGAAGTGAAGTCCTGGAAGCCATAAAGTTGTTGGAATTGGGAAAATCAGAAGGTCTATATGGAATTCCTGCAGAAGCACTGAAAAGAAACTCAGAGACAACAGCGGACATGCTCACAACACTATTTCAGAAGGTTTGCAAAGAAGGAAGGGTACCTGCTGATTGATTGTGAGAAGGGCTACCTCGTGAAACTAACTGCCAAAGAACGGAGACCTAATTCTTTGCAATAACTGATGCGTTATCATACTGCTGTCCACCTCGAGCACAATATTAGGCCGCTTCATGCTGAAAGAGACTGACAGATGCTCCGGATTCAAAACTTCGATGAGAACAGGCTGGCTGGCTGGCTTGCTTCAGGAAGAGAAAGTCATGTGCGGATGAAATTGCAACTCTACGCTACGAATCATCATAGGAGAGAGCGTAGAATGCCAGTCAACTCTCCAGCTCGCCTCAACTTCATCGACTTTGACAAGGCCTTCGACTGCGTCGACTGAGAAGTAATTTGGAAACTGCTTCAACGCTACCGTCTTAGTGTCACAAACCTTTATTAAACTCACTCAACAACAGTTATATGCCAAATGAGGCCATATGCTGAGTGATTCACAATGGAAAGCTCAGTGACGCTTTTGAATTGAAGACTGGAGTGAGATAGGTTGCCACCTCCTACCACAGATGATCTTCGTGATTGTGGCCGACTGCACTGGACTGGATAATGCAAGAAACAGCTGTGAGGAGGGGGTAATAGGCTGGCTGGACTGATGAAAAGACCCCAGAAGAATTGGGTTTTGCCGACGACGACGTATGTCTGATGTCACACAAGCTCTATGATCCACTGGCAGAAGTCTACAAGTTGGCAGAAGGGATGAGACGAGTCAGCGAAGGAAGACGTGACTTCAAGTGAACGCGGAGAAGATAAAGGTGATGAAGATACCCAACCACTATCACTACCATAACCACCACCACCACCACCACCACCAACAACAACAACAACAACAAACAACAATCACCATGAACGGGAGAAATCCAAAGGAAGTTGTCTCTTTCGCCTGCCTACCTACCTAGGCAGCATCGTTTCTACTACAGCTGGCAGCGGCACAGATGAGGATGTCAAAGCAGCCAGGGTCGGAAGACAGCAAGACAGGCCTTCCCGCATTAGTCTGAAATCAGTGTGGAGATCTACTACACTGCACTGCACTGCACTGCACTGCACTGCACTGCACTCAGCATAAAGCATGAACGAGATGCGGATTATCAACACCAATTCAGTCGAGTTGGCGCTTCCATATGGTTTGGAAAGTTGGCACATCACGCAAAACATTTCCAACAAACTGCAGATATTGATCAACAGCTGCCGCCTACTCTCGCTCGACACTGAAGATCGGATGGCCAGACAGAATAAGTAACAAGGAACTCACTGTGGCTGGCTGGCTTGCTGGCTTGCTGGTAACGAACCAACCGAGAACCCAGCACCCAACAAATATGCAGAAGAGAGTGGAGATGGATTGGGCATACAGTGAGAAGATTATTTGGAGACATCAGGTGCTAGACCAGGCCAGACTGTCGAGTGGAATCCAGAGGGAAGCGAGGAGATGGGTGTGCGAGGCGAGAGTGACATGGAGGGGATCGTGTAAGGATGAGATGGAGGCCGATGGGGAGTTGTTTAGCCAGGTTGAAAAGACTGCAGAGAACAGAGTGCACTGGAGTTGTGCTACTGAATTCTTATATTCTACGGGGAACCCAAGGGGCAAATGAATAATAAAATATTCCTATAGCAAACGTTACTCTTTTGTTTCAGTAATTTTTGAAGTTCCTTTTGTCATATCTATAAACAAGGTGCTTCATATTTACCTCGTCACTACTACGAGGTTATCTAGATTGGAATGCCCGAAAATATTGTACCTACAGTGACATCAATGAAATGTCCTAGGAAGCCGTTAACTTACCGTTTAATCAGCATAGTTGTTCCCATAACTTTCACACGGTACAAATATTTATGCAATTTCAAAGAATAGAAATTAAAATACGAACTAATGGATGAGTTTAAACCACTCACAGAAAACAGAAAAATACATATGATCTACAAATGAAACAAATTAAACGTTTTATAGCAAATAAAATCAGAGAATATAAACGGAAACAAACGAGGATTCGTTTTTGTTGTTCAGATAATCATTATTTATTAGGAACATTATTTTCTATCAATTAAAATAGAGTCTTTTTTGTCTGTCACCCTAACGTACAGTTTGCTCGGCCAATATTTTATGTAAGAGATGTAAATTGTAATAAAAATGCCTATTCAATAGTAAACGTAGTAGTCGTTCAGTTGAATATGGTCTTGAAGGTCACTTATAATAATATCTCGATAACATACCTAGAGACAGAATTGAGCACATATTTCAAGCCCATTTTAATAGTAAGAACGTAATTAAACAGTAAATGTTTCCTCAAGGTTCAAACTCTGCTCAATATTCTCATTGGCTACAAGTGAAAACTTTTGACTATGGTATGATTACTTCAGTTTAGTTTTATAAATAAAGATTCAAGTGCAAATGAAAGATACAACACAGACAAACCAAAAAAATTTCCGGCAACCCTATTTAAACTACTCAGTAGTTGGAACTACAATCATGACGAGACGAAACGAGTTGACTTTTTAAAGAGGTTATGAAGAGTTGAATTTGAGTTTGCTACAAAATGTCCTCGTGCATTCAGTAGTTTAGCGTCAATCCTCTCAACTGTTTTTGATATAAAAATTTCAAAGTTTGGTAATAAGATGAAACATGCAATTCGGAGGATTTTGGAAAACAGTCTGTAGGCTTCATTTTCGCTGGAGCCATAATACTTTTTGGATGAATGCCATTCTGAATACGAAAACTATTTTAATTTATTACCTCATGAAGCGAGGGAGTCTATAGTTTCCCTAATTTTACTGCACAGCATGTGTGAAGAAAGGAAAACCTAAAGCAGTTAGCCTACACAAAGTTCAAAATCTTCTGTAAGCACAAAAATAGTTAAACCTCATGATTTTTAAAGTGGTGTGATTGAGGCAGTATATACATATGTGTAATTTGGTATTACCTGACAGTCTGATATTCACCTTCGGCAAACTGATTTGTTTATGATTTAGTCGAAATCTGTGTGGTTTATTTAAATAAACGCTGTCTACCTGACTTGACACCGGATTCGTTAAGTTTATTTTAGCATTTGAAATTGCATAAATGTCAACCGATTGACCTTTTCGAAGAAAATCGAATGATTGTTTTGTTAGTAAAATACTCTTATGAATGTCTAAATCGCAGCCTTTTCTCTTCCAGTTGACTGAGCTAAATCCATGTGGTTCCTTGCTTTGCAAGGTTGTAAATGATGAATCTGTATGTAAAGCTCGTTCTACTGATGGTTTGAATACATGAGTTTCATTTGATATTGGAAGCTGATGCATAAAAAAATCATAACCTGTGAAAATAATAAAAAATAATAAAGCGTCAGACTATATAATTCATTTAGATATTTATTTGATAAAACGAATAAAAATAATCATCCTTTTCTGTGACATTCTCCTGTACGTATTTCAGTGTTATCAGTTCTCAGTAGTTATTACATTATAAACTGTGATGGACACACGTTCCTGCAGGTGATAATACATATCATAGAGCACATTACTGTGCCATTCAAGTCAAATAGAAGGTAGAAAAACAACTAACACCTATATCTTCTTTCTTAACACTAAGAAAAATTAATTACAGTTAGAATTTCAGACTTCTTGATCTATTCACACAAGTGTTTTTCCAAACTACATAGAATTAAGTAAGTTCCTATCTTCAACTAGCAAAGAAATATATGGCAACTTTAAGTACTTTCATATAATTGTCTTTCAATTTGGGGTTGAATGTGGCTGACTTTAGAGTTTCTACTCAACTACTTTAGTTTGTAGTCTTAAACAACCTTTCGATACAACTCATTGATTGCTATAACCGAATTTTAAAAAGGCAAAACAAGAGCGTTTTGTTGCATTCTTTACTTTCACTAACACATGCAGTGACCTTCGTTCTCATGTATACTTTTTCCCTTTATACTTTCAAGGCAAGTACAGTTATAATGAAGAAAGCATTTTTCGGACATAGAATTCTTCAAAACTGAACTAAAACTTCTTGTAAACGCATAAAAAAGGATAAGAATGCAATGTGTTAATACCACATTCACGTCTAAACATTTAAACAATGTTTGACCAAGTAGTTTTAAAAGGTTAAAATAATGATTTTTAAGCTACAAAGATGCAAACACCATATTCCACTTAGAATAATGTTAAGTAAACGATAAGTAGCAGAAGTCATCAATGTTTCCATGAATTCTGTTTCATGAAGGCCATTAGGCTGGAGAATATATGGCACAACCTGCAGACATAATAGTCTTTAGAGAAAAATTTGTGTTTGGATATCAATGATTTATGGTACCAACTGTCACTGAAAAAAGAAACAAAAGTTTTTTTGGAACTGTTAGGAATTTTTCTTTATAATTCATACTATGGATTAGTCGTTTGTACAAAAGACTTAGAGTTCAGATGTTTGTCCCCAGTTTATCGAGAAGTAGCACAAATTTAGTTGCCCTGTGTTATATAAATTTACACAAGATTTCACTCTGTTCTTTATTGTAATGAGTTAGGACCGTAAAAATACGTTTTATTGTTGGGGGAATACAACTGTGGTTAAGCATTGTAAACATTTTTATGATGAGAATTTACTGGTTATTACTAGTTCTACAGAATGGATGATTGTCATTTATACCTCATTAAAACAGTAGAAGAGAAGAATTCTTAGCCGAGAAATAAATTCTAAGCAACCAAACAGTCAGTAGTGCTAAGCTTAACAGCATTCAATATAAATGAACATAATCACCTTGATTAGTTTGGTTTTTGTGGCCGAGTAGTATGATATCTTCTAAAACGTGCGGTATTTCTTTGTCAGTTCTTTTTACAGGTATTCTGACCTTCACAGCGTCAACATTCAGTTCGAATTTCTTGCTATTTTGAATTCTATGTTCACTTTCAATGGAAAACTCGTTTGGAGGGTTTCGTTGCTCATGAAAATGTTCTTGTTTAGCTAATTGCAATAGAACTATGGAGAACTTTATTCTAAACCCAAGAGAGTAGTTGATTTTTTTCAGATGGCACATAAATGTTCCATTTTGAAAATCGAATTCCGGCATAATTGATACATGAAAGGTATTACCTATACGAATGAAAAATAATAATACCTAAAATAATATAGTAAAAGCAATTAACAAACAAAAGAGAATAAACTTCCTCAGTTAGTGGTTTATTTTGCCAATTAGGTCATAATATAAATTTTGCATTAGTAACTTTGAACGATATCGTGCTCTAATACTTCGCTCATATATGTTGTCACTGTGTCTATATTTTCGCGAGTGCTTTCTTTAAGTGGAACTGTCGAAAATTGCCATTGCAAAACTTAGCCTATTCTTACTATAGGACCAGTTGTTTTTTCCAGTATATGTACTCTGTATAAAGTTATTATTGGTAAACTCATAAAAATTAACATTTTGTATCCTTAATGATACCAGTATTGTATGATTTTCTGTAACCAAAACATAATTTATGATCTCTCTTGTTCATAACTTCAACTATCCCTTATTTATAAAAAGTGTAATACTGTATTTAGCAATTTATGTTTTAGCACATACATTTATTTGTTTATATGTATTGTTACACTAGTGCAGTATAGACTATTCTGTCGCGAAATTCTATGAAAATTGTTATTGTCATTTTGACTGTAAAGAAGATTTGATGGCAACGGGTTTTATTTTGTACCCTCTCATTTTTTATTGTCACTGTGATAATCGGTTTCGTGTAAATTTATGTTACATTTTTATGGACAGACTACTGAAAAACAAATGATTTTACGGAGGAAAAGTAAAATGTACAGAATTAGTCATAGAGAATAAAGTGACTTATCATCTTCCGGATTCAGGGAAAAGAAACTGTTTTCAGTAAACGCAAATCGTAAAATCTAACTGATGACCTAACTATGCTGCTTCATCTTGTAATCATTCAGCAGTTTCCAGTTGTTATTCAACTCATAAGTAATAAATACTCTCAGACTTTACTGCTGATGGGAATATAATGACATCTGACTGATGAAATTATGACTGAAGTCAGCTTATAAGCGGGTTAGTTTTATTAGTAATTGAATATGATGACTTAATAATGAGGCTTTAGGGAAAGAACGAGTAATATCTATCATTAGTGGCCTTAAGTTTACGTTCCAGGTTCGCAAAATATAATACGTTGTGCTACTTAGCTGCCTTATAAATCTACGTATTCTCAGGCTTTATAGCCATAAGCGAAACATCACTGTCAATTCGGTTAACAACACAGCTTCTTAGTGACAAACAAAGAGAGTAAAGAACGCAGGATTCAACCAATTCATAAGTCATATTAGGAGGCATCTACTGACAACTGCATACACTTCATTACATGAAATATGATGTGGAGCATCGATACATCCTAGAAATACGGTTTGGCATTCTGACAGAATCACTATCAATGAAACTACCTCAGGTGGCCGTGGTTTTATTGACTGGTGTTACATATACTAAGTGATGAATAAAAGCAAACAGAAAGCTGGGCTCATCGCAGCCTTCAAAATAAAAACCTCCAGTCTACCAGCCAAGTGCTGGACCACCTCAACTATGAGATCTAGTTGCTGAACCAGTTTAAACTTTCATAATAAAAGGTTTTGTCCGGCTTTCATATGATTCCATGGCACGTAACTATTCATCTATCGTAATGCCTTTAGGTAATTTAATTGGAGTTTGAAAACGATCAGCAGCTGGGTCTTTTGGTTCAGTCGGTTGATCGTCGAGGCGGTAACTTGAGATATTCGGTCTCTACTTCTGTCACCATCCAGGTTTTCAATTTGCATTCAGTTATCACCCAGAATCAAAAGTACTATTAGTGAATGTAAACCCACAGTAATGGTTAAAATGATAATGAGTAGTAAGATATTCTAATGTTTATTACACGTGTGAATTTGCTGCAATTAAACGAACTTATGTATGTAGATAATACACTTACAGCACTGAAATCGGAACACATCACTAGTTTCTTGGCACGTATAAATTCAGTAGTGAGTGCAATCCAGCTTACCTGTGACTTAGAAAGTGACGAAGGTGAGCTTGCGATTTTGGGCCGCAAGATTAAACTAACACAAGACGGAAGTTTAGAGAACAGTGTCTATAGGAAACCTTCCCATTTGAATCGCTACTTAAACTTGAAATCCTCGCAAAGCATCTCAGTTAAAGTAGGTTTGGTTAAATGCCTGAGTTATAAGGCGGAAAATCCTACTAGTAGACCAGAAAATCCACGACAAGAAATTAGACACATGAAGAATGCGTTATTAATTACCCACCCAAATTCACAAATAAATTCATAAGAAATCGAAAGAAAAGCACTAGTAGTCGTAGTAGTAGTGGTACATGTGTTAATAATAATCCTACTAGTAATGGTAATGATGGCGACGGGGTTGAGATTCAGAGACTCTGCTGTGTTACTACAAAAGGCATGCAGCTCAGAAGCACAACAAAGAATTCTCAATAAGGCTGGATTGCATTAAAGTGGCTTTTAAACCAGCAAACTAGCTTAGAAACAAGCTATGTAGGTTAAAATATCCTATCGATGGAATTAAGCAGAATAATCTGGTTTACCGAAGCAATTACAATGATTGAGAGGTAAAATATGTAGGCCAAATTAGTCGTCCAGGGTTGATTAGAACAAAGGCGCAAAGTTTAGCGAAATCAAGATTAGTAGATCCTAATAAGATACGAAATTCTGAGAAAAGCTCGGCTGTAGCAATGCGCACAATTACACACATTGATACAGTAGGGTGAAATAGAGCGACAGCGTTAAAAACTAACTTAGATGGGTGGAGGGAGAGATTGACAACCGAATCTTTGTTTATCGGATCAACACGAAATACATGCAACCAAAATGATTCTGCACCTGTCTCAGATATATGGAGAGTTCTACTACCCTTGTCATCCAACACAGAGAAGGAGAGAAAATTGAGAATATATAAACTCTATCTCAAAGTTGTGGACAATAAATTGTGTCCGGAACGTTATCCAGTAAATGCTACCGTTTCATTGTGTGACATTTCTAATAAAAAGACAAGTGGGATTATTCACATCTAATTGGCTTTATGAATATATTATGCCAAATTACATTATCAAAAAATGATAATCAGTGATGAGTGAAAATAAGTTTGAAAGCATTCTGACCAACAATAACTGAATATTCTGAAAACAAATTAGTCACGATTCATCATGCGTTTGTTTTCACTTGTTTAATCCTAGAGTAGTGTATTAGAACAAATAACAAAATAAATAAATATTTTTGTTATCTGTACTAATATACTACCCCGGGGTTACATTAGTAAAAACATACCTCATACGGTGGACGTATGAAAATCTCACACTAACAGCACTATCCCACTTTGTGGTACATCTTTCTGTGGTATATGAGCGTGTTATTTCAAGGTGCACAACCTTGACATCATTTTAATGTAGTGCATCCCCTGTTTCTGTGAAATTCTATACTAAGCCGCGTTTACAGCAGTACGAGATAACTTATTTCTGGCATATGCCAAGGTAATCTACGGTAATAGTGGCTACATTAAACAACTGAGTAATTACTTTTTTTAAATATTGTGGTGAGCCAAGTGGAAGATAGCTCGAGTTTACTTACCGTCCATGCAAACTTTCTCTTCTAGTGTAATTGTCCGGTTTACTTGTGATTGACATATTGGACCGTAGTAGGTCAAACACGCGGGTGTGTTGTAGCACGGTATGCTACAACACTGAGAGTTGAGGAGCTTTCGTTCATCTTCCTTACGACTGGTATTGATTCCTACCAAATAAATTCAAAATTGCAAATCAGGAGGAAGCTTGTGTTAGGTGAATATGTTACTTAGAGTTACTAAAGATTTCAAAACGGAAACGCCAGCTCGATTTAGTTAACTGATCCCAAGTTTTATTAAAGCTGGTTTGCATTAGGGAAAACACCATTTTAAAACAGTGAATTACCAGTAAATCAGTGAGTACAAATAATTGAAATAAGCATTTTGTTGAACTGAATTTTATTACGATTACACAGATAAAATTTAGAAAACTCTAATATTCAGATTTTTTTACATGTGACATTCGGTGCAAAAATTGCTTCCTCATCTTAGTGAAAATATGTAAAAGAGGAATAGTTTTTACATCTCGACTAGTTTTTGTCGAAAACTTATCCGTAGATTTGATTCGTACAAATAACAAAATAAAATCATTATCTCGTTCTTTGTTCTGCTAAAGTGAATCATTCGACGACAAGATATATGACTGCATCTATATGAAATAAATGATATAAGGCTGACTTTCACGGTTCCGGTTTCAAAAACCGTACTTTTATTGCTTCACCTGTGCTTAATAAACTATTTCGCATCACTTTAAGACCGTTTGACTGAAGTTTGTTCATACTTCTGAGAAGGGAATTTAACATGTCACACTGAACTGAGGTTACAACTTCCTTAAAAAATTTATTCATTCAATACTCTGCAACTGGCCATAAATGAATAGGAAAATGATGTCTTATAAAATGTCGCAGGAATCATAAGGTTGTTACTTTGTTTAGGAGAATAACAGCAGAAATTAAGTTGTTGTGATTTTTAGTGTCAAAACCATTCGTTGACTTTTGTTCTTGATGTTACGGTCAAGCTAGGTGATTCAGAAGACAGACAGGTGTGAAAATTGGGGCCTTGGACATCCTTTGGCCGAATTATAAACTTTACCACCGAGACACCAAAGTTACATATGGCCTTCTCTTAGGACTGGATATATCCTAGTGTAAACATATGTTTTCTCAGCCTGGTAAACACACCCTCCTTATGTAAGTCAACAGGAGTGAAAACTTGGTTAAAGGTTTCCCGCAGCTGAATTTCACCAGCATGATATTATACATTACCGTCGGATAGTTCACATTAGCGTAACAAGTCAGAAGTTAGAAACAGCATAAACAAAAATACGAAAATAATACTAATAATCAATAAACATCACGATAAAGAGTTTGCGGTAAGGTGAATAAATAGGACTTCTTTCTCAAAAAGATCTTAGTGTAAATCCGCTTGGACCACTATACCGGATTTTGAAATAAATAGAGTATCAGACTATCGTTCTTAGTTGCCTCTGAAATGTTGACCAGAGGGAATGCATAGCTCATAGACATAGCACAACAGGGTTGATGGCTGTTCTTCGCATGTCAGAAACTCATATGGCAATGAGAGATTAAAACCACATCAGCACACTCAAGCAAATTTTTCTCTGGAATTCTGTTCATGACCTGTTTACTGCCCATGACGTGGTACCAACACACTTCTGAGAAGCCAACAATACCAGTTTAACTGAACCATTTGCATGTAATCCAGCCCTGGTTTTTATATTCTTCAGCCACAGAGTAGAATGGACCAAGTTGCTGGGTGGTGAATTTAGATCCTGTTAAGTAGTAAGATAGTATACTGATACTATATATGATGTAAATCAACAAAAGCAGATTCGGGATTTTTTATCCACATGGAAATACTGTTGGTCATTAAACTACCGGGGCTGATGCGACTTTCTTAGTGATCGAGGTTGCCAGCACGACCAAAAAATTCCGTTTACCTTTTTAAACTAGATATTGACTTAAACTGTTCCTGAAGCAACATTTTGTACCGATAATGGGACCACTGCATCTGAATTATTCTCAAACATATGGTATCTTTACCAGCAATGTCAAGTTCTGTGTATTCAAACAACAAGTTAGAAACTTCCCCGTATAGTCTGCGGGAGGAGTGGAATTATGGTGTTGTATTCCGTAGGTCTTTCGGTCACGTTTCGTGTTTTGTAGACACCTTTTAAGAAGGTTGTGGAATATATAGCCAAGTGGGTTGTCCTCTGGATGTCGATTCGTGATTATTATGGCTGTATTATTTGCTCCTCGATGTTTAGCTGACAATGCAAAGTTTTTTACACTTCTTCAAAACCAGGTAAACAATGGATAATCAATCATTATACACTGATTATGCGATATCACTTGACTATTCGAGGCGAAGTTTGGTAGACTAGTATTGACACCGGTTGATGATTGGTGAAATGAAAATTTGAACCATGGCCGGATTCGAACCAGCGACCACCGGGCTACCAGCCCGATGCTCTACAAACTGAGCTACCAGGTCCGACTGCTGACCAGATTTTTATTTCACTTCACTCACGAAGGATTTCGTCCAACTACCATGTAAAGTCGTGATGCGTCACTGTTGCTTGATCGTATTCACACTGGGTGCCTAGTCAGGACCTCTCATTCCAATTCAGATAGTCAAATGATAATCAGTATGGTGTTCCCTCTCTCTGATTCATTTGGATTGGGATTGGGATGAGAAGTCCTGATTAAGTAGCCAGTGTGAATACGATCAAGCGAAAGTAACGTATCACGAATTCACATAGTAGTCAGGCAAAATCCTTGGTGATTGAAGTGAAATACAAATCTGGTCAGCAGTCGGACCTGGTAGCTCAGTTTGTAGAATATCGGGGCGGTAACCCGATGGTCGCTGGTTCGAACCCGGCTACAATCCAAACTTTCATTTCATCTCCAATAATCACTCAATATAAAGATAACGCAATAATAAAGTAACCAATTTCTTCTTTTAATATGGTCAAGACAGATTAGGGTTTTAAGCAACTCAATTTCAGCTGTCATAACTGTAGTCGATCACTTGTAAGTCTAAAAAAGCTGCTACTTTTTCCAGTCCCCAACTGAAAAAACGGATAGCTTAAGAACAAAAATTCCTTCAGAATGCCTAGTTGAGGATGTTTCTGTCGCAAAACTGGAAAAATCTATGGTTGTTTCACTTGCTAGTCAAACTTCAGAATATGACAAAAATGACGATGACACAAATGTCTTACGAAGTGACAGAAATTATACCACAAGTTCTCTAGATATATACATTAATACACATGGGTGTTAAGTTTAACATTATAGGTAAAATAAATAACCAATTACATTTTGTTGACCTTAGTTTTTAGTAAAGAACTAATGGAATGCGCCAGAGATTTCTGCATATAATGTAAACCTGATGAGGATAGTATATGTATTTTGAGAGTCTATGACCCATTAGCTGTTCCAAATTCATTTGATGCAGTAAGAGAACTTTGTTCATCAAATGAACTGACTGAAGAATTTCGATTCATCAAAAGATATCTCAAAGAAAATGATTATCTTCAGGATTTTCTATTCAAAACCAAAAGGAACATAACAGAGGCACAAGCAAAAATCGATTTTAATGTGGAAGTTAAACTTCGGCACTACTGTAGATTTTAGTCCTCCTCTAACTGACATGTCTCATAGGCAAGCCGAAACGCAACTACTGATTTTTTCTTACCTCATTTTTAAAGGAAGACAAATGACAAAAATAATTGGAAGCGTAAAAATTCTGTAAAATGTACTTTCTATTTAAAAAAGGTATTCACAACAGTAGTTGAAAGCTAGTAGGCGTCTAACTGATTCAATTTTTGACTTTATTTCTCCAGTGATGAACAACTGTGTCTTTTTCAGTTTATTAACCTTTTTAGCCCAATAGTAACGTTTATAGCTACAGGACTGTGTTATGTATGTTTGGATGCCAAAGGAGATATTGGTTATAATGAGGTTATGAATCCGCTCGGCTGCGGTTTTTAAATAATTTTTTGGAATAAAGGAACTGATAATACTACTAATAATCCACTTTGAGCGCTTGCAGTCGATCGACTGCAACTAAATAACGATATTATCACACTTCAGACTAGCTTTCTTCAGTTAGATAACGAAGTTTGTTAGCAACTACTTCCCAATAGAAATAGAGTTTAGAATTAACGTCAGTGACTTTTCAATATGTATACGGGGATAATTTGTTAAGGTCAACATTTATTGGAGTGCATTATTCAGTATTTGAGTGGAAATATATAAGATTAGCGCATAAAATCGTTAATCTAGGCTTTTGACTGGGACGCACTGTATTCGTTCCTAACCGAATGCTATAACTTTTCGGTCTTTCATCCTGATGATGAGTGTATCCAGTCCAAATCTCATCCCGTGGCAACCTATTCGCCTTACTTCACAGTCAATTCATTTATTCTAGTTTTCCGCCGATTTTATGTAGTATTTTACTTTTTTATATTATGGATAAATTGAGGTCTTTTAGCTTTTGTCCTCAATAATTATATGCAAATAATGAAAATCATGAGGACAAGTTAATATTCTGAAGAGATGTAAATAGTGATGGCGATTATGTTGATGATGGTGTTGATTATCATAATAAAAAGGTAGGTCATTTTGTATCAAAAAGAGAAACTGTGTGTCAGTTAATAAATGCTACAGCAAAAAACAATAAAATTTAGAAATACTTTACTATAATCTAATCTGAAAGTAAATACAAACCTTATTCTTTTTTGTTCTAAGGTTATCATTAGCATGAGACTACCAATTGATCATTGCATTTTGCTAACACTGAGTAATCAAGAAATTTACACATACAAATTAACTAAGTTTCCTGTTGGTGTGAAAAGCAAGATGGAAAAAGAAGAAATATAGTAATTCAATGTAAATCATATTGAGGAGAATGCAAGCTGTTTAAGGGTAAATGGAGGCTAACGGAAAGGAATTAGGACGTCATTTGACCTCGCCATTTTGTTGTTAATATTTTGGAAAAAGAGAAATCGGAAGAATTAAAAAACCTAAGCATACTGTACAAGATCTAGTGTAAAAATTTACGATACTTTTATAATTGTAGCATGAGATTATAGCTAGAAATAAAGAAGCTATATTCAATAAGATAGGGTATTATCAGTTTGTCTCTT